ATATATATATATATATATATATATATATATATATATATATATATATATATATATATATATATATATATATATATATATATATATATATATATATATATATATATATATATATATATATATATGCAAAGCAAACTAAGGAACTGTTCAAGGTACTTAACTTAAAGCTAATACTAATTATTAACTAATGCAACACTGAATTCATATATATATATAATATATAATATATAATAATATTATATATATATAATAATTTAAAGTCATGAGTTCGTCCCAGACAGGCTTTAGTCAAAGTACGCCACTGGTAGAGAAGACAACATTTAATCTACTACTTTTAAAATACACGTAATTGCACACGGAGATAGGTAAAAAGAAAGTATGTGAAATTTTAAATTTTAATAAGTCGGTAGGGAGCGAGAAAATGACAGTCAAAACTCTATAATTTACTTACGTTGGTTACCGTTAGAGTTGCCTACAACGTTAAAAGCTTTTCCCGTCAGCAAGGGCAGGAAAAACAAGATTAAAATGTACTTCATTTCTATATTTTTTCCGAAGAAAACAATGTTGCGGGGGGGCCGTTGTGAGGATCAGAGTCTAGAAAGAAATCCTCTTTCAATGGCCAGCACCAATCGTATTTATAAACACATTACATTTTTAAAACTATTATTCTTTAAAACAAAACCTCTTTACAGATGGATGAGTCACAGTTTTCGAGCCCTGTCTGAACTGATTCTAATAGTAAACTTGTTACGTTGTCAAGAAACACAACAAAGTTTATCTTTAAAAAAAAAATTAGAATGTTTCTTTCCAAAATTGTAACACTTTATTTTAATTAAACAATATTGTACTTCACTTGATTTACGTTACACATCGAACTTTATAATAAACATATAACAAACAGACAAGCAATCCAAAGAACTCTGCACTTGTCTGACTTTCCTGAATGTAAAGAAGGTATGCGTAGGGAAGGTTATAACACTGTTCCAGCAGACCTGATCCCAGCATGCCTTTAAAGCATGTTTAGGTCATTTTCAAGGGACGCAATCGCTGGCTTTGCACAAATAGAGAGTCCCGTTTTAAGTTATGCAGTTATTGTAGGGACCCACTGGTGTGGGGGGGGTGCATGTTTAGGTCATTTTCAAGGGACGCAATCGCTGGCTTTGCACAAATAGAGAGTCCCGTTTTAAGTTATGCAGTTATTGTAGGGACCCACTGGTGTGGGGAGGGGGGGGGCGCTTTTCAGTGATAATAAGTCAGTGTTGTTAAGTTAGTGTTGAAAAGTCAGTGTTGATGAGTCAGTAATGATAAGTCAGAGTTGATAAACCAATGTTGATGAATCAGTTTTGTTAAGTCAGTGTAGATAAATCAATGTTGTTAAGTCAATGTTGTTAATTCAGTGTTGTTAAGTCAGTTTTGATAAGTCCGTGTTGATAAAAATCAGTGTTGTTAAGTTGGTGTTGATAAGTCAATGTTGTTAAGCTAGTGTTGATAAGACAATGTCATTAAGTCAGTGTTGATAAGTTTTAAAGTTAGTGTTGATAAGACAATGTTGTTAAGTCATTGTTGATAATTTAATGTATTAAAGTCAGTGTTCAGTCAGGGTTGATAAGTCAATGTTGAAATTATGTTTTGTTGTGTAAGATTTGGATAATTTCCTATCTTCGTCAATTTCGGTATGATTTCTAATAGTTACATAGATTCCCATAGGGAAATCTACAAAGTATTTTATATAAGATGGAAAAGTGACTAGAAGTCTAGAAGACTCCCCTCTTAATTATCTATTTCAGATCATATTGTATGTAGAAGTGTCCCCTCTTATTATTTATTTATTATTATTAAACTGGCGCAGTACCCCAGCCTAGGGCTAGGCTCCATAAAAAGCAGTTACAAAAAATTATTCATTGAAAAACAGCTTTGTAAAAAGATTTACCTCCCCTACCAAAGTACTATTTACACTGGCCAGCCATGGACGCACCCATCAACATATAGCGTTGTTGATCTGTCAGAGGGGTGAGAATTAAAGGAGATATTGTATGAACTATTCTACTCTTATTTATCTATTTCAGATCAAATTTTATTTTGAAGTGTCCCCTCGTATTTTTCTATTTGAGATGATATTGAGTGTAAAAACATCCCATCTTATTTAACTTTTAAAGACTATATTCTATGGAGAAGTCTCCATTTACTATCAATTTAAGAATATGTTATTTGTAGAAGTGTCCCCGATATTATATATTTTTAAAGATATTATATGATATTGTCTCCCTTTATTTATCTATTTTAGAGCAGGTTGTAAGTAGACGTGTCCCCTGTTATATTCTAATTAAGATCATATTGTTAGTAGAAGGGTCCACTCTTATTATCAATTTAAGATCATATTGTTTGTGTAATCTCCCGCCTTTTATATCTATGATGATGCATAGAGACGTCACACCTCTTGTCTATGTTTTAATATGATATTGTTTGTAAAAGTCTCCCCTCTTATTATCTATTAAAGACCATATTGTATGTATTGTATCATAACAGATGTTTAACCACATCGAAATGGCAAATAGACATAAGTCAAGTTTATGATGCATTAAATTTGCAAAATTAATCCCTAAATTCGCTGATAAAGATATTCGCTTGTAATATTAAAAGTAAAAAATAACTGCACACAATTTTAAAATAAAAGAAAAATCTTTGGTCTGACTTTGTGTTACCGGTTTTTTCCGGTCGGGAAGCCCCATTTTGTGTTTCCTGAACACTGAAAATAATGGGGACTAGAAGCTTGTAAAGTCGATAATACTTTAGTCTTATGAATATATTTCTGCAAAGCATACAGTCAAAAGGTTTGGGAAGTTGTTAAAACGCGATTGCCAAACTCCTCCAGTTTCTAAAAGAAAGGGAGCCACTCCTGAAAAAATAGCGTCACGCAAAGAACATGCAATGGAACGTGACTGCAGAATGGCGCATTAATTCTCCAAGACCAAGTTAGACACAAAACAAGACAAGCACAAAGGAGCAACATTACCAACTTACAGCGCACCTCAACAAAGATCACACAAGTCTGACACAAAACAAGACAAGCACCACGGAGCAACATTACCAACTTACAGCGCACCTCAACAAAGATCACTCAAGTCTGACACAAAACAAGTCAAGCACAAAGGAGCAACATTACCAACTTACAGCGAACCTCAACAAAGATCACACAAGTCTGACACAAAACAAGACAAGCACCACGGAGCAACATTACCAACTTACAGCGCACCCCAACAAAGATCACACAAGTCTGACACAAAACAAGACAAGCACCACGGAGCAACATTACCAACTTACAGCGAACCTCAACAAAGATCACACAAGTCTGACACAAAACAAGACAAGCACCACGGAGCAACATTACCAACTTACAGCGCACCTCAACAAAGATCACACAAGTCTGACACAAAACAAGACAAGCACCACGGAGCAACATTACCAACTTACAGCGAACCTCAACAAAGATCACACAAGTCTGACACAACACAAGACAAGCACCACGGAGCAACATTACCAACTTACAGCGCACCTCAACAAAGATCACACAAGTCTGACACAAAACAAGACAAGCACCACGGAGCAACATTACCAACTTACAGCGCACCTCAACAAAGATCACACAAGTCTGACACAAAAGAATTAAACCCACGCGACACCTGCTTCTTTTTTTTTTAAAATAAGGTCATAGAACTCCAGAAGAAAAATGAGAAATCCTGTTACACCATAACTAGTTTGTGAAGATATTCAGATGCAGAATCTGAACCTTGTATTGAATCTAGTGCAGAGCCTTCTATACAGCTATTTCAAACGCGTGCCATAACCAATTCGCACCATTTTCCAATGCGCACCATTTTCCAATGCACATTATTTTTCCAATGCGCACCATTTCCCAATTTGCAGCATTTGTACGATTTTTCATTGCGTTGGTTGATTTGTTAGAAATATACATAATATATATTTGTAAACGTTTCTCAATCAAAATAAAATCTGAGACACTTCACAGCGCTTCAACTATTTAGTCTTTATTTCATTTCAATGAACATATTTAAGAGCCTAGAAATAAGGAGAAGAAGATATCAGTCCCTCGCGTTAAAAGATACTTCTCATTAAGGTAAAACTAAATTCAATATGACTTAAACAGTAATAAGTAAAATTCATTCAAAATATTGTTTAAAAAATCCTGGCCATGCAATCGAGGACATCGATCAAGGCTGCTATACAGTTTGAACAGTTTGGTAGCTGTGAATTGTTAAATATAAAATCAGGTATTAATAGTCTTTTTTCAAATAGTTAATTAAATTGCATTGCTAGCGTCAACTTTAGGAACCAAGTGTTTCTTTGCTAGAGGAAAACAGCTTCGAAAGTATACATGTGTGTACATTTCTATGTTCTTTACTGACGACAGTGAAGAAGGCACTAATCGTATGGAGGGCGAGATGACCTTAGCAGTATTTGAATGAAGAAAAATCCTTATGAGGTGCATCACTAGCGTTGTAAATAAAGAAGATAAAAAATATTTTAGGCATATGCCAAGACATGTAGCAGTGACGTATTACATGGCCGCCATCTTGCTTGCTGCGACCCGTGAACTTTGACGGGTTCACGGGTCACGGAAACCAAGATGGCAGCAATGGAAAAATAAAATAACACACGTTTGCCAAAATTAGGAATAAAACGTTAAAACTTAATGAAAAAAATGTCCTTAATGTATCCCAAAATCTAACCTGAACCCTAAATTTATCCCTAACCTGGGTTTTATTCTGATTAGTTTATCCCACAAATCATTAGAGAGAATTCTTCGATATTATAAATCTTCTAAATATAGAGGAAAATGTGCACGAAACAGAGATGTTTAACATTATTTTAACACTACATACAGTTCTGCTCTAAATTCAATAAATGTTACAACTTATTCATCCAGCCAACAAAAGGAGCTCACGAAATTCATAACAACGTTCAAACTTATTCTCTCAGCCAACAAAAGTACAGCCCTAAATTGCTATCGAAAAGTGTGGTCTTTGAGTACAGTGATGGAAGTTGAAGAACTAGTTCGTTTATAAAGATAATTAATATTAAAATAATAGTTTGTGTAATTACTGAAACCCCTAGACAACGAAGTCATCAAACTTTTGGGTAGAAGCGAGTTCGTAACAACGGCGCTGAATTGGTCATATCAGACATTTCTAAACTTTTGATGCAGCAAAGAGGCTGATGTCTGCATTCGTGCTATCAAGCACGGACTACAGCAAGGCTCTCATGGTGGGTCTTCCAGCTATGCTCCTGGATAAGATTAAAAATGCGGCTCGCATTGTTCTTCGAAAATGCAAATTTGACCATGCTAAAAGACTTCTGAGACAGTTGCATTGGCTGATGCTCCGCACTCGCATAAGTACAAAATTGATTGCAACTCTGTGCTACCGCTGCTTGCATAACATGGCACCGACCTATCTCAAAGCGCTCATGGCGCCTTATGTACCCGCTTGACAACTCCACTCATCCGATAACGGCAAACTCTTGATACAACGTGTTCGCCTTGAGACTTAGCGAAGGAGCACGTTCGTTCGCATTTGCTGGCCCATATTATGGGACACACTCCCTGTCGCTCTCAGAAACAGCCAGACACTGGAATCTTTCAAAACCAAGTTGAAAACATATCTATTTCGCAAACACCTGTTGGGGTGATGTTGTCTACCATCTTTTAAAGCTAGCTATTATCTGCTGTATGTATAGTGGCCTGTGTTGTTGATGGTTGCAGTGGATGAAAAATTTAGAATGGGTATTCTCGTATTTAGTTTTTGTAATGTTGCATTTTGTATTTCATTGTGGTAAAATATAGATCTTTTCATTTCTATTTTAATATGTAAGACTTTGTACCGCGCTTTGAGCCTTTGGGGATGAAGCGTGATTTTCAAATAAGTTTTATTATTATTAAAAATTCAATACAACTTTCAAACTCATTCACTCAGGCTGCAAGAGGATAGCACTAAATTCAATACAAAGAGACGGTTTGTTTTATGTAAACTTCTCGACCATAGAATAAAGACACTCATCCCAGAACGCTAAACTAAACCTGACCAAAGATGCTAGTCCCCATAGGTCTCAAACGAGTAATGAGATTGAAAGCTTAGTTATAGCTAAACAAAATAAAAGTTTACATTTATTGGCTAGTATACCTATGGGAGATACATATTCTTAAAACGGGAGAAGAGGATTATTTTGAATTGTCACCAAATGAATTATAGTATATTATTTTTTTACACAGATCACATTTCTGCATCAAGATCGTCTAAGGCAGTTTTGGCTCCACTTAGCCAATCGTTTGCTTTCCAAAAATGCAGAAACTAACTGAGCTTCTCGTAGGAATCCTTGTAATATTTGCCCTCAACAAAGAAGGTCAGAGTTCAATAAAAACTGTTATCACCTTGGCTTAAATTGGTACTGGCATTTATGTCCCAAAGACTTAACTTCTGACTTTTCCCTGGAAATTCTTGCACCTATTCATAGTCCACGCATTTCCCATATCAAACCCTTGCAGAGTACTGTGATAAAAATTGATGAGTTCAAGGTAAAAAGCAGTGAGGTCAGTTTATTAAAAAATGTTTAAGTTATCTCCCCTGTGGCTACATGCTATTCAATAGAATAACATGGAGAAAAACCATCAACTCCACGCGCTCTTCTCGGAGATACAATAGGTGACACTCAACTCTTTGTGTCTATTTTGTAGTGGGCAGCTTTTGCGTTTTCATAATCACTGACTTTTTGAAGGAACTTTAAAGCCGAAATGCATTGAGTGTCTGTAAGCCATGCCTTGATAACCTATTTCGGAAGTTGCATGTTTTATGAAATCTTCCTTCCCCTACTGTGGTGCGTTTGAATTTCACTCAGGACTACTCTGACTCGAATGTCTTGCATTATTATGTCCGCTATGAAGGACCACTCCACCTGCAAGTGACTTTATGTCATGTATTATGTCCACTTTATCATTATCTATTTTGATATTTGTTGATCCCCTTATAAAAGTTTCTAAGGTCAGATGTGAGTCGGTAAACTCTACTATCGTTGGGTTTCTAAGGTCAGATGTGAGTCGGTAAACTTTACAATGGTTGGGTTTCTAAGGTCAGATGTGAGTCGGTCAACTCTACTTGGATGGGTTTCTAGCGTCAGATGTAAATTGGTAAACTCTACTATGGTTGGGTTTCTAAGGTCAGATGTGAGTCGGTAAACTCTACTATGGTTGGGTTTCTAGTGTCAGATGTGGGTCGGTAAACTCTAATCTGGAAATCAGCAGCGCACTTGTTTAAGGCCCATAAGTAAAGTTTCAAGTTCTGAATCGAATTGTTTGCATTACCTCCCACACGGACCTGAAATGTCTTCTGCTGGAGTTTAACCATAATTTGGTAACTGTATGAGTGCAGAGCATCCATTTATCGGTTAGTGAATTTAGATCCTCTTGTGTAAATTTTATCACAGCTCCCTTGTATTCTTTAATTGTCCTCAAAGTGGCTTCTTTTTGACATCAAGATGACTGGACTTTGTCACTGCCACTTTTGCCAGCGTCAGAAGTAAATCATGCGGTTCAACGGAATTTTGCGGAAAATACATCTTTTCGCTGAGTTGTGTTGCATTGTTGTTACACTCAAGTAAGGTGGACCGCATCGCTAAAGAAATGTCTTTAGCCTTGTCCTCTTTACCCACCGGTCTTGTAACTGGAAATGGTTCCATTTTCTCAAGTTGACTGTATTTTATCTTTAGGATGGCTCTGTCTCTCCTACTGCCGAGTAAATCTACATCTGACAGGATCTCTACTGCAGCCGTCGGTGTTGTGGGTAACTCCCCACACAACGTGAGAGCTAGGTTCTGTATGCAGTCGATACATTATATTGCCGCGCGGTTCTCAAAAGCCTGGACGGGCAGGCTATAACCGATGGTCCCCTTTGCGCCCCCTAGAGGTAACGTTCTTATGAGGCTTGCATCGTTGCAATGAGCTAGTGTGACAAAGAACTTCTACTACCAACTCCGTGATATGAAGCGTAGTGTGCTGATTTTTGCAGTCAGCTTTTGTGATAGAGAAGTTGTAACGAAACACAGAAGCTAAGAAGATAATGGTATGATCCTCAAATTAAAAAAAAAAAAAAATTAAAAATCTTAGTCTCATAAATTAAAACACTCTTGAAATGAAAATTTTTTTTGTGTAAGAAATACAACCTGCGTATCATTATTGTCTTACAGTATCTACTGAGAGAGCTTCATTTAGAAGACTTATTATATTAATGGACCCTGTTCCTTATTGTCTTACAGTATCTACTGAGAGAGCTTCATTTAGAAGACTTATTACATTAATGGACCCTGTTCCTTATTGTCTTACAGTATCTACCGAGAGAGCTTCATTTAGAAGACTTATTACATTAATGGACCCTGTTCCTTATTGTCTTACAGTATCTACTGAGAGAGCTTCATTTAGAAGACTTATTACATTAATGGACCCTGTTCCTTATTTTCTTACAGTATCTATCGAGAGAGCTTCATTTAGAAGACTTATTACATTAATGGACCCTGTTCCTTATTGTCTTACAGTATCTACTGAGAGAGCTTCATTTAGAAGACTTATTACATTAATGGACCCTGTTCCTTATTGTCTTACAGTATCTACCGAGAGAGCTTCATTTAGAAGACTTATTACATTAATGGACCCTGTTCCTTATTGTCTTACAGTATCTACCGAGAGAGCTTTATTTAGAAGACTTATTACATTAATGGACCCTGTTCCTTATTGTCTTACAGGATCTACCGAGAGACCATTAAATGGAGAACTTATTGTATTCATGGACCCTTTAGATTTCAAGACAAAAAGTTGTCCGGACGGTTATGTTCACGATGTTGATTACTTCATTGTGTCTGGTTTCGTCAACGTCACCACCTGCGATAACCCGCTTAGATATGGAAGAGGCATCGTAGTTTTTGTTTGGAGGGGTAGTTTCATGGATTATGTAAGATTTTAAGTTTGGCTGTTCTTTAAACATTTTTGTCTTCATTCTTATTGACATGTAGATTTAAAAATAATTTTTTTTAAATTTTATATTTCTGGTGACGATAGGTAGGTTGGTAGTCTTGCAGCGTTTTGTGAAACACTTGATCGGTTACCTCTTTGGATTCGGTCAAACCGTGTGTTAGGTCATTTGGACCGGTTCACTGGCAACTTATCAGGCACAGTACACGTCACGCACCGATGGACAAGACCAGCTGAGGATAGAAGAGACTTCGAATGGCTTGGATGGCCGCGTACACGAAGGAAACCTTGGAACTTATCCATCCCTATAATTGCTAGAAGATATGTTGTCTATTTAATCAGTCAAATAAAGAACACGTTTTTTAAACTCAGCAATCAGACATTAATGATTGCATTAAGGACAATCTTGGACAATAGTCATTAAGACAAAAAAACAACTGCATTACAAAAAGAAACATGTGGATATAACTTACTTTTATTTCACTTCAGGCTTGGCATACCTATCTGCAACTGTGGAAAACAACCTGCAGAAATGAACCGGAAGTGCCTCCAAACAGTTGCCGGTGTCTTTCTGTTGATGATAAGCAGCTCCGTGTTAAGTGCAATCTGACAATTATCGGGCGATTTATCCAGAAACGGATTGTATTAGTCTTCCTTTCTGATGGATATTACGGGAGTGAAGCATCGGAACCCATTCCGTATGTTTATGGTACGTAACAAGAAAACGATGGTATTTTAAAAATTTTTACGGCACGAAAATGTCTAGGCATACTACAAGGTATGTAATGTCTAGGCATACAAAAAGGCTTGTAATATATAGGCATAAAAAAACAAAACGGCTTGAAATACCTACTTATACAACAAGGCCAGTAATGTCTAGGCATACAACAAGCTTTTAATGTCTAAGCATACAACAAGGCATGTAATGTCTAGGCATACAACAAGGCATGTAATGTCTTAGGCATACAACAAGGCATGTAATGTCTAGGCATACAACAAGGCATGTAATTTCTAGGCATACAACAAGGCATGTAATGTCTAGGCATACAACAAGGCATGTAATGTCTAGGCATACAACAAGGCATGTAATGTCTAGGCATACAACAAGGCATGTAATGTCTAGGCATACAACAAGGCATGTAATGCAAGCATAATGACATTCTGATGTATGAGGAAAGAGAACAGGGATCGGTTGCATTACAGATAAAGTAATTATTCTAATCAAACTGATTAAAGTAAAATAAATATAATTTTTTAAAGGTTTTTTTCGTCGGGGACCCCATAGAAGACCCTCCGCGATCCAATATGGATCTGCCAACACTAATTAAAGAATTAGGAGACTGGTTTATATAAGATTAACTGGACACGAACAATTTTTGTCAAAATTAAAATATATGTTAAGCCTTACTAATAATGTTACATAATACACGCGTATTTGACTAAGCTACCATGAGAATACATGCCAAAAACAGGGAACCCTGTGTTGAATCGACTGTGTGCTAAACGCTGTGTTAGAAGTAGATATGCAACGCAGCGTCACAAACTTTTCCAACGCCTGCACAAACGTCGGGCTCACCATTAACATAAAAAAATACTGAGATCCTATACAATCCAGTTCCTCGAAGACCTAATGTTGAGCCCGACATCCAAGTATATAGCGAAAGACTTAAAGTTTGAAAACGCTTTTCTTATCTTGGCAACATCTTCATCATCGGTGGAGCTACAGCCTGCTCCACCACATCCTTTCATTCAGTTCGATCCAAGGCTTTCCGCCTCCATGCGTGAAGCCCCAACAGGTGTAAACCCACCTCTACAGCGTCGATCCGTCTGTTTTGGTCGACCGATGAGCCTTCGGCCACTAGACTTCTGCCTGTATATCACTTTTGCTGCTCTGCATTCCGTCATCCTATCAAAATGTCTTGCCCAGCGCAGTCTGCCTTTATTATTATTACGACTATGGGTCGGTTTATCACTGAACCATATATTTTTCTAAGCATTTTCCTTTCTTATGTATGTATTGAGCTTTTCTGATAAGGGACCATAAATGTTGCACTAGCGTAATTTAGTAATTTATAGTAATGAATATGGACTTCTTTATTCCCATTGAGAGTTTTTTCCCAGCAGCTTTTGTCGACTGAAACTGAAATAGGAACGGTAGCCTGCTGTTATCCATTCTTTCAACGCAAACATTATTCCATTGTGCTTATTTATAGACGACCTTACATATTTGAATGTAGCCACCCTCTTGTGTTGGTGGTAACTTATATTGATGTTTTCATCCATGTGGGTATTTCATGACATTATCATATATTTTATCTTCGCTTCATTTACATCAAGACGAGCTTTGACTGAGTCATTTTTAAGTTCCTTGAATGCTTTACTTATGTGATTTCTGTTTCTGTCCAGTAGCGCTAAATCGTCTGCACATGCCAGTTACTGCAATGGCTTGCTATATAAGGTTCCAGATGGTTGTTCTGTAATACCTCTATGGAAGTAGCTTGTTATGGTTTCACTGGTGCTCACGTGTATACTTCTAATGACTTGTTCTAGCGCGGTGTTAAACAGGATACATTATTGTGCATTATCTCGGCAGCACAGTGTCCCAAAGCGCAGCAATTGATGATGACGTTAACCTCCGAATTGCAAAAGCCAGTGCAAATTATGGCATATTGTGTAAGACACTCAGGTGCTCACACAGGCAGATCTCCCAAGCAGACTTGCCATCTTAATGCAGTCCCAGCTGCCCAAAAGAATACTATGTGGTGAGCTCGAACATGGAAGGCAGTCTGCTAGCGGGCAGAAGTTACGTTCTAAAGTCAACCTAAAAGCCTCGCTGGAAGCGTTCGACATAAACTCAGACACGTGGGGGCAAAAGGCAAAGATCGAACATCATGGCATTCCACTTTACATGGGGGTTTCATGCAATATTAAGATATCAGAACATTGGCTGCAGAGTTCAAGAGACATGCCCGGAAGTCCTGGTCTGACTCAGCTCCCAAAGATGCCCCATCAGTCCCATTCACGAGAAAAATTCATGCCTGAATCGGCCTCAATAGTCACCAGCGCAACCACAGACCTGATCAGAACTAGCACAGATCTGATTATTAAATTGGTCAAGGAGGCCGATTTCCGTCAGACGAAGAACAGATATCACCAGTAGGTGTTCACATTGAGCAGGAACAACTATGGCTTCTGATGCAGAATTTGTGCTTATATGTGTCTGCCAGAGAAGCGACCAGATAACTGTGGCTGCATGCGGCCCTTTCATTAAAGTGATTACGTGAAGCATGTTGTTCCCTTATAAATGTGGCTCCTTTATGATTGTGTATACTTCATGAACGTAGTTCCTTCAGGCATGTGGCTCCTTCATGAATGTAGCGCCTTTGTGAATGTTGATTTTTTTTCGAAAATTTACACTATAAAAAAAGAGTCAACAAGTTCTCTTGTAAACAAAATGTATCGATTAAACAATTTTGTATCTAGTTTTCTAATTCAATTCAGTTATAAAAGGACATAGTTACACAAATCTTTTAACTAGAAAATATACCCATCGGTAGGGCTACCATTTATAGTACTAACTATGCATATACACGCTCTGTCTGTTGATGATAAAGAATGCGCACTCATGCCAGCTGACTATATACTGGAGAACTAAACCAAATAGTTCCTCTATATTGTCAGCTGACAATATACTGTAGCACTGAACCAAATAATTTCTCTATATTGTGAGCCGGCAATATACTGTAGCCCTTAGCCAAATAGTTTCTCTATATTGTAAGCCGGCAATATATTGGAGCACTTAGCCAAATAGTTTCTCTATATTGTAAGCCGGCAATATACTGGAGCACTTAGCCAAATTGTAATATACTCAACAGTTCACGAAATGACAACTGTTAAAACGTTTTTTTTTTATCCTTGTGGTAACAGAAGTCACGTGATTTGTATGTAAACGTTTACGCAGCACAGAATCTCAGTAACACAATCAGGATTGCGAACGTTATTTCAATGTCCATGATAATGTTCTTAACTTGACCATACTTTTAATTGGCCATGTTAACTTGTCTAACTGGACAATAATCCATTTACTTTTATTTTAAGGTAATACTTCTTGCATAAAGTGGGGAACTCAGTCAAGAAATCAAGGTAAACAAAATAGTTTATATGAAAATGAAGGTTATTGGTAAGTGCAGCGGTTTCCAATGCCTGTAGGGGCGTCGCAAAAATTTAAATTAAAATAGTTCATAATGTTATTTTAAATTAAATGTGATATTACACGTCTTCGAAAGGCCAAGTAACCCACTTAGTAAATACTGTTTTGAGGCGCCTGTTCTCATGATAACAAGGTAGCGATTTGTACTCATAAGTTAGTAATAGTTTTTTTAAAAACTTTTACCTTTAACATTAATAGTAAATAATAATAATAAAAATTATGTACATTTTTTACTGTGAGTTTGTTAAAATTTTGGAACGGGCGCTTTGTGAAAACGAAACAACAACAACAACAAAAAAAACTAGATTCAGATTAGAAACTGGGAATCAGAAACTATTTCTTTTCGTCTCAGATATTGTCTTTGTTTGTTTGTTTACAACAAGAAATGAAATGATTTTCTAGAGAGGTTAAAAAAAATAATTGTATTATTATTTTACTAATTATTAATTAGTTTTTGACGAATATTTGTGTGCCATTTGAGAAAAGAACATTCAAAGGCCAACCACCTTATTTGTTTCGATCTGTTGGATGTATTACCTTTTATCAATAGAGCAGGGTGGCACCGGAGATGGGTTTCACTAGACAGGGTGTCACCAGGGATGGGTTTCACCAGAGCTGGGTGTCACTAAACACGGTGTCACCAGGGAAGGTTGTCACCAGACAGGGTGTCACCAGGGCAGAATGTCACCAGGATAGGGTTCCACCAGGGCAGTTTGTCACCAGAGCTGGGTGTCACCAGGGCAGGATGTCACCAGGGCAGGGTGATACCAGACAGGGTGTCATCAGACAGGGTGTCACCAGGGCAGGGTGTCACCAGAGCAGGGATAATTCATTCTTATCCATGGAAGGTTCTGGATTGGTGACACCGGAACTCGTGACGTCCCAGCCTACACGAACCATTTTTTTGAAACATGTAATTTTTTCCAAGATAAAAATATGGAACTTGAACGTTTACATGATTAGCCTTACACTTTAAATAAAATGGATCGGTCTGTTACAGGATTGAGTCTTATTGGAGAGAACGCGGCTATGTCTGGTAAGTAGTGCATGAATCATCTAGTCTTGTTGGGAGATAACTCTGCTATGTCTGGTGAGTTGTACATGAATCATCTAGTCTTGTTGGGAGATAACTCTGCTATGTCCGGTGAGTTGTACATGAATCATCTAGTCTTGTTAGGAGATAACTGCTATGTCTGGTGAGTTGTACATGAATCATCTAGTCAAAACTTGTTTGGATATAATTCTGCTATGTCTTGTGAGTTGTACATGAATTATCTAGAATTGTTAAGAGACAATACGGCAATGTCTGAGAAGTAATTGATACACATATTTTCTCGCCTATTTTGGGGGGCATCACTGAGTAGTATACTGTTATTCATGCGTGAATTATCCTGTCGGCTATAATTTCTGATCTTTAATTAAGTACGCATTCTCTGGATTGTCTGACACTTACACCGATAGATCGTTCACGAGCTAGACCAGTGGTTCTTAAACAATCTCTGTCACTAGACTTTAAAGGTACGACGAGTATCCGATTTAGGGCAGTAGAATCTCATGCATGGTTTTTTGGGTCAACGTTTGAAATTATCAGTTAATCCAACAAGTTTTAAAAAAAATAAACTATCAAGCGTGAAATTGTTCAGATAGTTCGAATGTTTTGTGCAGGGGAGGGGTTTGCGCGGATGTAGATAGTAAATTATTTCCATTCAAGTCAATGGTATGTAAAACAATGGCAAACTTTTTTGCATATTATGTGTTATATTGAGTACTTTTTGCATATTATGTTATATTGAGTACTTTTTGCATATTATGTGTTATATGGAGTACTTTTTGCATATTATGTGCTATTTTGAGTACTTTTTGCATATTATGTGTTATATTGAGTACTTTTTTCGCAGTGGCGCCACTAGGAGAGCGAAATGGGTGATTTTTACGTGAGGCACTTAAAAGTGGGGGAGGGGGAGGGGGGTTTAGAAATTTGAATATTTTTGTTAAAAAATAAATTGTACATGAAACTACTATTTGCATAAAGAATTGTCTTTACAATATTATCTAGGTGTTTATGACAGACGTAGATATCCCTCCTAGCTGTTCATGACTGACATAGATGTCCTTCCTAGCTGTTCATGACTGACATAGATGTCCCACCTAGGTGTTCACGACTGCCATAATTATCCCACGCAGGTGTTCATGTATACAAATGAATGAAAATATGCAGCATATTTAAATTTAAAATGAAGACACCTGTTGGCACCAATGCTACACTAAATTTACTGATAACTTGAGAGAGGGGGGGGAGGAGGTGCCATTTAAAATGTAATAAGACAGTTCTCCTCTGATCGTCCACAAGACAGTTCTCCTCTGATCGTCCATTTTACATGCATGCCGATTAATTTTACTGAATTAGAAATCCTCATCCAACCCCGCCAAGTTTTGTTGTTGAAATATCTGCGAGTCGCCATGAGTTTGGACCATGTGCACCCAAGGGAGTCTCTAGTGTCCTTGTACGGAATGAGTTCAGTAATAAACAAGCTAAACATTTTACCTCGACTTCTAATCTCACGTGCTCTGATATTCGTTGAACTAATCCTCTTGTGGGGACTGTCCAAAGTTGCCATCAAGTCAATATTGATTGTGACCAAGTTCAATTATTGCCGTGGCTACAGACTAACACGATTAGTTTTGAAAAAAAGTCTCTTTCCCAAATGTTTTGCCCATGAGAAGCTGCAGACTCCCACCACTATATCTGCAGACTCCCACCACTATAGCTGCAGACTCCCACCACTATAGCTGCAGACTCCCACCACTATAGCTGCAGACTCCCACCACTATAGCTGCAGACTCCCACCACTATAGCTGCAGACTCCCACCACTATAGCTGCAGACTCCCACCACTATGGATGCAGACTCCCACCATTATAGCTGCAGACTCCCACCACTATGGATGCAGACTCCCACCACTATGGATGAAGACTCCCACCACTATAGCTGCAGACTTCCACCACTATGGATGCAGACTCCCACCACTATAGCTGCAGACTCCCAAGAGTTCTCAGTGTCAACATATAGATTTAATGATCAAATTAATAAGCATCTCAAATTGTATTTTTGTTTCTTTACTATTGTTTCATGTATCTTTTTTTTTCCTCCTAAAAGTACCAAACGTTTTCTAATCCCACAGGTATCGTCATCATCTGCACGGCTTTGTTCTCAACGGTCTCATCGCTGTTTTCCCATGGCCAATGATCTCACAAACATCGCCCGAGACGTTGAAACTCAACGATAAAAGTATCAGCAACACAAACACAAATGTGCCTTGCGCAATGTGAAATAGTTCATGATGTGTGTGGTGCATAAGTCAAAGAAAATTTACCCAAAAATATAATTAAAAACATAAATTAAATTAATATATGATTTCTAATAAAGAGCCGAAATGAAAAAGAACACAAAAGAATAATGTAATGTATGTTTCCAATAGAAAACAATACATTTATTATGGTAACTGTAACAACAATTTCATAAAATATATCACACTGAAATTGTAAAATCTTTAAAAAAGAATAAGAAAAAAGCAATTTATATTTAAGAAATCACAACAATAAGAAAAGATATGCTCGAAATAATTTTTGTATTGACTACGTTTGTTTTTGTTTTTTTCATCTATATGATAAAATTATCACTATGTAATGCATAACATTGAATTGAATTTAAGCATGGAGAGTAATTTAATGACATAGCATTGAAATGAATTGAAGTATTAGAAAAATAATACATAACTTTGAATTGACATATAAGAAGAGTAATATATAACATTGAAATGAACTGAAGAATTATAAGATAAATGCACCACTTAGTAAAATAAAGTTGAAACACATTTGAAATTGTTGTTTATTTAATAGTTCATCACAATTTCCGATTCTTATTCTGTTATTTTTTAAATATTTTGTTTTTAAAAATGAGAATGAAAGTAATAATAAAAATGGTTTTAACCTACTATACCTTTCTCCTAATAGTAATAATATAAAAAGTTTTACGTCAAATATATCATCTATCAAATAGTAGTAATATAAATGTTTTACACCAACTAAACCTTCCTCCGAATAGGAAAAATATAAAAGTTTTACACCAATCAGAACTTCCTCCAAATAAGATGAGATTAAATAAGATAAGATTCTTTTATCGATCTAAACAAACAGAAATGTTTTTTTTTTAATTACATTATACGTATATACTGTCAGCACATAAATACATACATATTATAATAATTCCACATTTTCTAACTAAAACAATTTAAACACAACACATTAAATTATTTGTATAGTTTAAAAAGCTGGCATTCAGTAAACCCCATTAGTCTTAACAGGGACTTAATTAGAAATCATTAACATTTGTGACGTCTAGTGGAGCAAGCTAGTCAATTCGTACAGATTGGGGAACAGACGAATGTTTATATCTTTCTGTCCTCACCCTGAGAGAAAGAATTCGCCCCGAACGGGCCGATCCTAAGTGTCTGAGATGAAGAAGGCTAGATGGAACATCCGAAATTTTTTTGGGTTTTACAATGACATTTTTCTTTAAAAAGTTCTTCAAATGAAGGATGTTTAGTTATTGTGATGTTTCTAGCTTTCTTGATTAGTCGGTTTATGCGCTGTTTAATATCAGGCGATGAATTCCCACACCAGCAGGTAATTCTAAAATTAAGCAGGCTTCCAATTGATACACTGTAGAATAAGTTAACAACTTGTTGGTTGACGCCAAAATTGTACTGTTTTTTTATGACAGAAAAGTTCTTTGGTTGTGCTCATGCCATGTTACACCTAAATACTTATATGCCTCTACTTTCTCTACACTTTGATTGTTTATGTTAAGAGTCCTTATTTCAAGCTAATTTATTTTCCTTTGGAATTGGTATTATTTCTGCAGTTTTCCAAACCTCTATATATTGTGTGAGTTACAAAAGATGTATTAAGTATGTAACAAAAAATTTAGGAGTGTTCCTCTGAGCATACCTTAACGAGCCGACCACTTAATGTGTATGGCCTTGGCTGCATTCACGTGCATTAATAACGACATCATGTCATGTTCGGGGAAAAAGGAAGTATCACCCTGTGTAGTGCTGCTATCTTCAAATGAATTCATCATTTCAATGTGTACACCTCTATGAAATGTGTACACCTCTAAAATCCGAACTGTCCAAACGCCTATAAAAGTCATTTACTTCGTTTAAAAAAAATTCTTCACGTCTGGGAATAGCATAACGTTTTTATACTTCCTATTTATTACATTATGAGTTTAACATCAAACCGACATTTGGCACACCAGGATTAATTTCACAAAATCTTGCACAAATAGAGATAGAGGTAAAACATATTTTATGGAATCAGTCTCTATTTGTCAAATTAACTTGACATGACCTGAGTATTTGTCATTTAAAAAGCATTACAGTTTTCAACCACAATAATTGCACACGCTGCTGTAAATATTAAAGTGTTGACGTCCTTGACAATGACTTGTAGGCTGCAGATGTGCCAAGCCCCAACTTTCATATGTGTTGAAATGTTTTACCTTGATCGACCAGTAATAATAATTATTCAATGAAATAAAACATTGCAAACAAAAGTTCCCCATGCCGTTCCTTGAGTCTGAACAATTATATTTTTTTATTGACTTTTTTTTCAACAATCTTTGTGGGATCTCATTGTATTTACAAGGTTGATAAAATATTATTGAATAGATTTTGGGACAGCATAAAATAAAATTTGAGCAAAAAAAAATATTTTTTTGTTTTCAATTTATATTTTGTTTACATTTCTATATATATATATATATATCACAGTCTTTATTTGAAAATAAAATGACTTATTTTTTCATAATAAAAGGTCTACAAGGAAATAGAAATCGGCCATGTCTCCGGTGAATTGAATTTACCAGAGAATGTACTCGCTGATACTGGAAGTGCTCAAATATTGGCACAGGCAAGCAGTTTTAAAATATGTGCCCCCAAGATTAAATTCAGTTGTGGCAGGCATAGTTTGATGCATCTGCCTTGGCGCCTTGGATGTCTTTCATGATGGCTTGGGGCAGAGTGAGCTCAAAATGAAAGTTCCCAAAACGAGAAAGACCATGGCAAAACTTTTAAGGAAAATGACCCCTGAATGGCTGTTTGATTCCCGACTCAATTCTTTTCTGCGTGGCTTTAAGCAAAGACCTGAAATGAAAAAAACATAATAGAGAGCAATTAATAGTCTTCTTGGAATTTGTGATTAATTATACAACTTTATTTCATAAAATTGCCATCCAAATTTAATGTTCTCAATGGTTTACTTGCAATGGTTCCCTTTACCAAACACTCACACCATTGACGTAGACAAGGCAGGTGGGCAATGCATATATTGGCAATAAAAGTTGGTCGTCATGGCAAGCAATACAGCCATTTTTATCGGGAAGTAGGGCAGAAATCGTGCAGGAAATGTGGATTATTTAAAAATCAAGAGGTGCATTTTGGAGAAAATATGATTTGAATGTTTTGATAAGTCTATTTAAATAGGGAAATATTTTTTCAAGCGTGGGGGGGAGGCATTGTGGCGCCCAGTGGCATACATAAACTAAATTCATTCTGGTTGTAGTGTGCCCAAGATAATCATTTGAAACTGCGCAGCAGTTTTGAGTATCCGCGCAGCAGTTTTGAGTATCCGCGCAGCAGTTTTGAGTATCCGCGCAGCAGTTTTGAGTTTAAATGCGGAGCAGTTTTTTAGTATCCGCGAAGCAGTTTTTGAGTATCCGCGCAGCAGTTTTGAGTATCCGCGTAGCAGTTTTGAGTGTCCGCGAAGCAGTTTTGAGTATCCGCGTAGCAGTTTTGAGTATCCGCGAAGCAGTTTTGAGTAGCCGCGCAGCAGTTTTGAGTATCCGCGCAGCAAATTTCCATTTAAGTGTGTGTTTGTGTTTGTGGGCTGTAAAATTTTGCACACAACCGTATGATTTTGCACATGAACCAGCAAACCTTAGAGGGAACATTGGTCATTAGTCATTTTTGTGATATCAAACGGGGCAAACTTTTCTCCCGGTCTCATCCCATTTCAACGGATATCAACCCAAAGGCGCATCAGATGTTTCATCGCGGCATTGATATCCTGCACGGACACACCAGCGAGAATTCAAAAATAAAATCTAAGAATTGGGATCGAATGTGGCGTCTTTACGAAAATAGATAGAAAGAAAAATAAATAAGAGGAAATTGACTATGCTTGGCTATAAACAAGAAAAGGCGGCGGAACATAATCTTGTAGTACTTATTATTCTTTTATTGAAATATCAGCAGCTTATTTCCCTTAAAACCCATCTGTTTAGGTCCTGTGATGCAACCTCCTTGCCCTGCCTCATTTTCTGTCTCGGGTTAATCCTGTAGCATAGGCCAAAACGTGCCAAAGTGTCCTCGTTTTATAGCCATTTTAATTGTTTCTATAGTATAGTAGTCTCATTTTTATTTTACTTAGTTTACATGTTTTTAATAATTATAAAGCGCTTAGAGCTTTAAGGTAAGCGCTATATAAAAATGCCTAAATAAATAAATAAATATGTAATTTTAAAAAAATAACAACAAAAATAGTCATTGGCTTGTGATGCTTTATACTAGCCATGTCTTCACAATTCCTATGTGTTACACAGGCCATGTGTTCAAAGCCCCAACTGTGTTATTCTATTGTTTCTATAACTCCTTTTGTGTTATACTACACACGCGTTCATAACTGCTTTAGCAGTGGTCGGCAAACTCATTAGTCAGAAGAGCCAAAAATCAGCAGCACGACGCTTAAAAATCTTTTTGAGAGCCAAATTTATATTCAAGAACCTGTCAATAACTATGTTTTTCGGTGTAAAATCCGATTTGTGGCCGGCTGGTCGAGCCACAGTCGGTGGCTAAAGAGCCGCATGTGGCTCGCGAGCCACGATTTGCTGACCAATGTGCTAAAGTATTGGCAGGTCATTCACCTACCGAACCTCCTCGCCAAAAAGCAACACTGTTGAGCATAAACCGTGCGTGTTCCTCTAGAAGGGGGCAGCTGTCCAAATGATGTGCCCGGGAAGTCAAATTTACATTCTATTACATTCTGATTTTAACGTTTATTCTTAATAAAAAATATTTTAAAACTCATTTTGGATTATTATCTTTAAGCAACAGGAATCATGTTGTTACATTTATATTTAACTAAAACAATAAACCTTAATAACATCAATGTTATGAAAGGAAAATAAGTTATATTTATAAAAAAAATTTAGTTCTTCAATACTGACCATTCCTCCCTTTTTATCCGGATGTCCTGCAAATCTTGGCCAGTCAGAGTGAAGAGCAGACGACGTATTTCAGCGTGACCTCTGGCGTCAAAGTAAGTTAGCGTGTATATGGTAAGTTAGCGTAGATATGGTATGCAGGGCCGTCTACAGGAGGTGAG